CATACATACATACATACATACACACACACACATACGGACACATATACATACATACATACATACATACATACATACATACATACATACATACATACATACATAGAACATGGGATTTATTTTCTTGTACTCGGCAACTAGTTTTAAAGAAAAATGTGTGTGTGTATGTGTGTGTGCACGCGCGTGTATAAAATAAATAAGTAAATAAATAATCCTCTAAATCTTAATGGAATATTGAGGGCAGTTTACAAATCTAGTTAAGCATGAGCACATTAGGAAGTAAAACTACTGATCCATTTTGTACTGTCCGCAAACTAAAAGGCAGATGCTTGGAAGAGATCAGATGGCACAGCCACTAATTACAATTTCAAATATTATCAGGGACGCCAAGGACTTATTGATGTCATTATTGTTTTCTTTTTTAAACCTGGAAGAATAGCTTAAATATATGATTCAGACATATTATTTATTCTCCCTTCATCACTAAGAATAATGGAAAACCCAAAACATATATATCTGCACAATTGGAATATATTCCTCTACTGCATTTATTTCATATTTTTGTATATTCATGAAATATATACATTTTCATTTATAATTTTTGAATAATGTATTCGTTTATTTTATTGATATTAATTTTGAGATGTTGTAGTCATACGGCAAGAATTTTTTTTGTTCCAGTATTTTTTTCTGGTAGGAATAATATATGTTTAATTTATCACTAGACATAGTTCTGCACTCTTGTTGAAATCATTCAACCCCCACTTCAACATGTGGCTTGATCTGAATCTGCACTGGTGCCATATCCTTCTGTAGGGCAGGCGGGAAGGATAGCAAGACCAGATCAGGTGGCATTCTCTGCATAAGATTCACAGATTCTGTTGGCTTTCAGGTGCCTTGTGCCACATTTTATCTACCTTGGGTAGACCATCTCTTGAATGTTAAGTTTAATGCTAAAGCTGTAAAAGAGAGCAGGAGGGAGACTTGTACAGACCCTTAGAGGGAGTCAGAGACTCTTCCAGTAACATGTGAACTTGTTGGCTTTCTAAAAGAACTATAAATGGAAAGTTGGCTTAGGCTTTTACAATTTTCTTGCTATATTAAGAACTGCCAGCTGTTAATTCAATTTTCCGTGTTTTTCATCTTTTCCCCTTCTTTGTCTTTTCAGTTTTGGGATGGTGATAAGGGTTTGGTGAGATCACTCAGCTCTACATCCAGACATCGCTTTGTTTTCCATCCAGGGAAGACCATTTCCCTTGTGGCCCTGTCAAGAAAAGAGACTCCAATGGACTTACACCGGGCAGCTTTCAAGATGGAAAACTCCTCCTACCTTCCCAATCCTTTGGCATCTCCAGCCCTGATGGTCCTGGCTTCCACTGCTGAAGCCAGCCGTGATGCTTCCATCCCCTGCCAACAGCCCAGGCCCTTTGGGGTCCCTGTGTCAGTGGACAAGGATGTGCACATCCCGTTCACCAATGGCTCCTATACTTTTGCCTCTATGTATCACCGACAAGGTGGGGTGCCTGGAGCATTCACCAACCGTGATTTTCCACCTTCGTTGCTGCATCTCCATCCTCAGTTTGCACCCCCTAATCTGGACTGTACCCCAATCAGCATGCTGAACCACAGTGGTGTTGGGGCCTTCCGTCCCTTTGCCTCCACTGAGGACCGGGAGAGTTATCAGTCGGCTTTTACACCTGCCAAGCGCCTCAAGAACTGTCATGATACCGACTCTCCCCATCTACGCTTCTCAGATGCTGATGGCAAGGAGTATGAATTTGGAGCCCAACTCCCATCTGGCTCTCCCGGCTCCCTCAAAATTGATGATACTGGAAAAAAGATTTTTGCTGTCTCTGGCCTCATTTCAGACAGAGAGACTTCCTCCAGTCCTGAGGACCGAAATGATAGATGTAAGTACCTTAGCTTTGTTTAACTGGGCTGCTAAATGCTCAACAGGTAATGCTTCTGAATGCTTGAGGGTTCTAAAGAGGCCAAACTATATGGGCTTATTTTCCTTTCAATATTAGTGAATTACAGAAGAAGACAGATTGTAGAAAATCTAGACAAAATAATGTTTCTTTTCTGCTAGATTTTGGGTTCCAACTAGCAGAAAAACTGCCAACCTTCCAGAAAGAGGGAAAGTCTTTGTAGGAGTGGGTCTGACTCTACATTTATTTCAGGAAACTCAGTTTTTGAGGATAATGTCTTTGTAAACTTTGTCTTCTACCTCTGTCCTTATGTATTTGATGCCAGTGGTAACAAAATACAGTTCTTTTACTCTGATATTAGTGTAAAACATGTTTCTTTTACTTAGATCTGACTTCTAGTAAGCTAACCTAACTTCTGTCATTAAAACAGAGAAGGTAAGGCATTTCATAATGTGTTACACAAGCTGAACCTCTTGCACTAATATGCAATATTTTTCTGTAATACCCTCTATAAGTGCAAAAGTAGAATTCCAGAAGTGAAAATATTTCGCGGACTAAGATAAGCTGAACCCTATTCACCTAAGATCTACTGGAGCATTCCTCTCTCCAAGTAATCCCTTCCTTATTAAATGCCGTAAGTTACCTCATTAGAGGAAAGTAGATCAAGAAGTACTTATCTAATATATTGATGATAAGGCAGTATTCGAGTCAGGCTTGTTTGTTCCCAATTTGAAAACATACTGTAGTTTAGATGTTAAGCTAGTTTTCCCACCCTTGCTTCCCATTAGTTCCTTTTGTAGTTTCTCATACTGCTTTGTCTCTTTTCTTCCATTTTTTAAGAAGTGGTAAGATGGAGAAAAAAATAAGGATTTTTTTTCTTTTGAAAAAAAAATTGGAGCACTCCCTGATTCCCTGTTGGATACCATTTTTTCTTCTTTTTCTTTACGACACCAAGGAGAGTAATAGAGACATAGTTCCACTCTCTGCCTGTCGGTGCTGCTTCCTCAGGCTGTCTCCTTGAATTAGGCGCTGTGTAACGTCCCAGTGCTATGAGGCATCTGCCAAAAGCCTCCGTACCCTGTCAATAAAAGTCACCATAAAATCAACCTGCCTTATAAATCCATTGCTCGTTGGTTCTGAAATATGTTATGAGTTTGTCTTTTATGTCAGTGTTTGTGTGGAATGCTTCCTCAAAGACGAAACTACATGTTGCACTAAAGGCTTGTGCGCTTTTTCCATACTGTGGCTTAGCTGAGTGAGAACCACCCAAATGTTCTTGTTGTCTTTGATGTTTGAGTGCAACAAGTGTCTGTGTGTGTGTGTGTGTGTTGTGTGTGTTGTGTGTATGAAAAGGTGGGAGAAATAATAAAGTTTAAAAGGTAAGAAAAGATAGATTTGCCCCAAGTAAAGATGTTTTATAATCTAAAACAGTATGCATTACTAATGTAAATATAGCAATTTACAAATACAAAATTAATGCAGATAATGCATATTGGAAGTCATCTTCAAAATGCTGGCTCTGTCAATTAAATATATTTAGAGTATTAATTGCTTCATCTTGCTAACTGCTCCTGTTAAATAGTGGCATAAATGAACAAATATTTTATGAACTCACTGAACAGTGTTTAGAAAGTGATTGAGTCAGAGGTAAACATGTGTTTAAATTTGGACACAGTTCAGAAGAACTAGGTTTTTTAGTGGTTTTTCTATACAAATATTTTCATGAATTCTCAGATAATGTTTGGGGGAAACCATATTAAACAGTTTTAAAGGATGAAAGAGATATATAGACTTACAAACAAAAGTAAAAATTTTTACAAACAGGTTTTTGTATCTTAACACTTCATAGGATCATATCGTCTATTCATTCTTGATATTTCTTTCTTTGCTATGAAAAATAAATCAAAATTGATTTCAATTTCATGGAAAGCAGACCAAAATTGGCTTCATACCAGCCTGTCCAGGTAAAATATAAAACAGGTTTTACAATTAGCACTCACTAGGTTAAGTTTTGGGAGTAAATAATGGCTTCATCTAGTTAAAACTTTATTATAACAGTCACAAGTTTTAAAGGCATTTTATTATTTATCTGTATAAATATGTAAGTATCTCTATCTGAGGAGCAACAAACCTGGTTATATGTAATTATAACCTTCAAATACCCTTGGCATGTTTAGGTCTTTTTTCATAGAACTATATATTCTTGGGTATTTCAGAATCTTGAACAAGAAAACTGTACATAACCCGTGTGTGAAAGATTATTTGTTGGTAGTTTCTAGAATGAGGCTGAGGATGGAGATAGATTTCTGATTATTCTACTGTTCTGAATGGAACCAGAAGAATGCACACATATTCACATGAATGAAAATGTGGCATATCAGCTTTTATAAATTCCTAGTCATTTAGGCCTTTCAAATGTGTATCAATTTTTTTATACATATAACATATATAAACCTCTCTGTGAAATAAGGTTTCTTTTTACCAACAGTCTACAATACATTTTAGAGAAATGATTATATAGACAAATTGATGTGCAAAATTGTATTAAGGGAGCTAGTAAAAACCATTGCATTAGCAAACCTTTATGTCTCCAAGAGGCACTCGGCAAAATATTTTGGCTCTGTTTATTTGCAGCCTTCCATATACTGAAATGGGATCAGACTGCATGATGTGTGAATAACTTCAATCACAACACATAACATTCCTTGTCTGGCACCAGCAGACTTTATTCTTTCTTTGTTTATTTCTTATAATTTCAAACTTGGGATTTTCACTTGCTGCTTCATTTGTTTTTAATGAAAAATAATACAAATCAGCAAGCTTAGAGCTTGTGGAAACTGTGGGAAGTGTTTGTTTTTAAAAAAACAGGAATGCCATCCAAAGCTAATGGAATTTAATGAAGGGCAAAGTGTATCACTGTACAAGCATAAATGCAGGCATCTCATTTTATTAGTAAGATACTAAGAACAATACAGTATGTCTACATTCTCTGGAGACAAGAGTCTTATCTCTGTTAATTAGTCGTGTAAATCTAGATTGATTCCCTAACCATGTGAGAAGTTATTTAAGATTTACATTGGTCAACATTGCTTTGAGTCCTGCCTTCTGGGTATGTTTTGATCTTTAAAAAATGGCTTAATATATTGAGTTGAATCATAGCTGTTGTGGATTTTATATTTAGAGATTTTATATTTTATATATACAAAAGTTTACCCAGAATTAGTGACAAAATTGGAAGTGCAATGTGAATATATGTAAAGCTTAACTTTACCATCTGCCTCTCCGAATATATCAGTGCATCAGCATATGGTAAATATTCTCCTTCCCTGTGGTCCAGAAAAGAACCCACACGAGTTGTGCACAAAAGACGTGAAGAATAAAGAATTTGTCTATGAAGATAAATATTTTATCCAGGTATCTATGCTTCTATGTTCACTGAGAGTGTTAATCACATGGGGGGAGATGGTTTACACTCTATGTGTAGTGCAGAGGCATCTGCAGATACCTTCTATTGGATTCTTCAAATAATGATTTGACCTTAATATCCAACTACAATAGATTTAAACATTGTCCCTGTGTAACAGATCCCTGTAACTTTTAAAAATAGTTTCTTTATCTTTTAATTCCTACTGATGGCCTTGTAGACTAATAATCACAGTATGTCCTTTCAGGAGAGAAAAGTGGAGAGTCTTAACATCAGCTGGATCATGTACACCAAAATGTTCCACTGGCAAAAGCACTGCAGTGTTTCCAGGAACTTCAAAATTTGTTATCTTATACATGAACCTTCCCCAACTTCATGCTCCCCATTCCCAATGAACTTACAATGTAAGGCCTTGGCCTTTATTTGGAGTCTACATATTGTGCTTATTTGAACTGTTTCCTCCCCTTTATTGCACTTATTCAAGTTTGGTTTATTGTTGATGAAACAGACTCTAATTTATTAATTAGATATTTTTGCAATTTTGCTTCTTACCATTTATCAGCAGCAGTTTATTTTTTTAATGTCCCATAATGAAGTTTTTAAAAATGTCAGTTTAAGACAGTTATAGGTGGTGGAGAGAGTCTGTTTTCTTATTCTTACCTCAGTTTTTCTTACAGTTTTATATCACAGAAGACAGTGGACTTTTTTGTTGGGCCTCAGTATTTGGACTGGTTTTGGAAATCACTTCAAGAAAATGGAAATATTTAAGAAAGTCAAACTTCTGTTGAGTTAAAGTTCCAAGTAGCAACAATAATGTATTAATACAATAATGTATTAATTTCTGGTTTTTCTTTTCTCTTAGCATATTAGACAACTGACTCAAGCTTCATCTTAGCTCTGGCTACCTCAATAGAGCAGAGGCTGACCAGGTGTTTACACACTAGGGTCTAAAGTAAGGTGGGGGTGTATTCCAATTATCCAACACTCAAAATGTATACATTGTTTGCTTGTTTTACAGTTATGTGCTGAGGACCTCTTTTTTAAATAATTGATGCCGTACTTTAGAGTTGTTAAAAGAAGAAAAGTAAACCTGTCTTACAAAAAGGTATTAGACATGATCTAATATCAGGTCTATTTTTAAAACATACTAGAAAAGCATCTTATGGAAATGGCTGTATCTCTAGTAGAATGGCTAAATGCATATCTGTGGTGAATTTTAAATGTAGAAAATTAGTTCTACATCTCAAGAAAAGAGCCTTTCTGATGGGCCATATTTTAGTAAGGAAATGTACACTACATTTTCTCAGGTTGTTGGAGCCCTTTCCTGCTGCATTATGACCACCCGTCCCGTCAGCAAACTGTTGCTGAACCTCCTTGCCATTTTGCTCTGTTTAATTGTGATGTTGGCATAAAGAAAGGCTTGGGCCTGTTAATGTGGCGGAGAGTTGGGTGTGAGCTGCTCCAGTGCTGCCGGCTGCAGGACCATCTGGCCTGGCTCGCCTCCTCAGGTCTCCAGCTTCCCTTTCTCTTTATGTGTGCCGAGGTTGCCTTGCACACT